TCCTTTGACTTCATTACCGAAACTATGATCAAATATCCTACTGATAGGAGTCGGAATTTTATGCATCTAGATATGTCAGCTTTAAAAGAAAAATATACAGCAGGTGAACAGGGCATTTATCCTCAACTTGATGTGGTTGCTCACTGACGTTTCTCACTCCACACGGCCTAACGGGTTTCAAATCAGTTCATCCCACAAACAGTCCTTAGACGATATATGCAATTTAAAGTGATAGACAATAACACTCTTCGAATGCTTATATTTAAAAAATGTGCTACTGGTGGGAATACAAATTAACCAGTGATGAAAACATACATCGGCGGTCTAAACAAACAAGAAAGCAATGCAGAAAGGAGCTAAAAGAGGACAGGCTGCACTATTAGATCAAGCTAATGAACAAATATGTATCAAATCGGAAAGCGTACTGCAGCCTTTTTTCGAGAAGGCATGGCCGAAGTCTCCTAGTTATTAGTTCTTGATGGATACCCAAACTAACAACCATGGTTATGCCACAAAGCGCCTAACACGACAGTATTTTCACAGATTTTAGCCATCACATGCAATGTAAACCAATAAGAACCTCACATACGACTTAAAGGGGGTCTCAGAGGCAAGCTTAAGAACTTAATTACTGTATTAAAAACTACACTATCTAAATAGCGATACTTTTCATGCAGCTCATCAAGCGGAAAACCATAGGCTTACTTTCAACAACAACCAAAAGTGTAAAGTAGTCCATTTGGAAGATGTCACGAACGAAACATAAAACTTCGATGTTTTCTTCCAATAACATGTATTCACTTGAATTCATAAATTCAGAAATCGCCTTATAATTAATCAAGTCATCATAAACACAGTTTGGCACTACCTCAAATTCTTACCTAGGCCCAGTTACAACAGAAATCTAAGGTGGAATATTCAGAAATCGAATGCACAGCGCACTAAATTTCACTAAAGACAAACCTTATACTCTTTATGAATAGTTAAGTCCCAGAATTTACTGACTGTTGGGGTAGTTCAAGCAACGTACTTGTAGTCTTGCGATAGAAAACTTGGTATATCCTCTGGGACTCATGGCAGTATTTCATCACAACTTACTAAGATTTTCCTTCCATTTGTTAAATATGCATGCATTCCTAAATGAGGCATCGGTGATCCAGTGGTAACAGAAACGAAAGTCTGCTTAATCAAAGCTTCTCGTATTACACCCACAACCATTAAAATCATTTGGACCATTACAACAGGCAACGAAAAAGTATCATCGTCCAACAGTCATCCTCAAATTTCACAACCAAACAGTATCACAAGACTGAATAGTACACTCCCCCTCCCGTAACGCTGTGAGAACAAGTTGATAGCCACGTGAGTGAATTTACGTAAAATTGAAGAAAAACTGCACTAACAAACGTCTTGCTATCAAGGAGCATAGCTATGATCAATCAGAACAACGGAGCTTCTCCGTTACCACCAATTGGACTCGTAACTTGTGTACACATCTTCGGATGCTCCAAAGCACAGATGAATAAACTTTCTGGCCAAAGGTTCACTAAGAGCACGGATTTAGTGGTAGTTATTAATGAATCTCGCAGAGAGATCGTCGCTCTACGTGGAGCACGACATGCTATTCAACGCATGGAGAACTAAGTCGATTATGTAGTATCTTGTTCAATGATTGCTGTGTTGAAATAAATCCGTGATGGTTATAGCGACCAATAAATGCACACTTACCTCCACGAATTAGATCTTTGACATGTGCATATAAAATATGACCACACTGCAACATGTACTCATTTAAACGTTCAGAAACACATCTTGCATACGAATTATCAGTCTTACATACTGTCTTCGTCGTGACATAAGATGCATTTTTCTGTTATTACTTCCTGTCTCATTCTCTCTAACCGTTCGCAATTAACAACTACAATCTTCGTTATGAAAGCTGTGAGCTCATTTACAAGAGTTTGAAGTGATCTTGGAATCTGAAATTGATGGTACTTTGATTATATCTTTTGCCTCAAGTTTTAAGAAACATCTGTCTTACTCCTCCCTGAGATATTCTCTTAAGTGTATATGAGCACTTTCCACACCGTTGTTTGTGTGGTTACACAGGCTTAGCTCATGCCACTGATAACAGGAACGCACATTGACTTCCGGTCAACCCAGTTATTTCTTATGTATCCACAGGCTCGTGAGAAATAGGTTCTCAAGCACCCTCGCTTCGTAGCAGATCTTAATATAGTAGATTATAAAAAAAGAATTTGACGTGTTAGATCGCTTGGTTCTTATAAGATATCCTAAGAGTTTGCGAAGATCAGGACCTCTGAGCTACAGCAAATGATTTGTGCAGTTAGTGCTTACTTCCTGAAAAATACTAAAAATTGGAACGGTCATAGCACTATGTCGGCATGAATGTGCCCAGACTGTACTATGGAATCCATAACAATTTTGTATGTATTATATGTACCACACGTGTCTTTGAAGTACTCGAGTAGCCTTACGACGTCTTCCGATCATTTTTGCCTGGGAAGAGCATGCATAACGATGTGCTCTTGCCTAAGACTGTCAGTAATGACTAGCTAGAACGGTTGAAAACTTTGAATTAAGGTTGTTATTATTCGTTACTTCCTCAACTTTGTTGTCGAGGCGATATATACTACCTCTAGAAACGCGTGGCAGATAGTCATTTTCTCCCTGCTATTGAAACAAATCATAGAAATATTCCCATTTTCTCCGAATAATTCTGTTTGGCTGGACGCGCTGTAAGATCCCGTTTCAGAGAGGTCTCAAAACTGTCCCAACCGGTAAATCGTCGCGATAGCACAATATCAGTGCATATTCGTCCTATATTGTACATCCTTATGTTAAGATCATCTCCGTCACCTAAAGGATGGAGGTTATCAGACAGTGAGGCTAAACCCAAATCAAATTTTGGGTTATTTTGATTTGACCGCTTCTGCTAGACCTTACGAATTGTCGAGGTGACGCACCAATGGCTTTACAACAGTTTGACCTTCAATTGCTCAGTAACCTCCACGATGGACGATGCCACTGAATCATTGACTTTTCAGTGCACGGATTGATTAAAGTTAGTAGTATTTCTGTTTTCCAGACATATTTACGAGTCCCCTTTCTAACATCGTTTTCTAACTTCATGCAATGGTTAATTTTTTTCACCACTTAAGATCGTTCTAAAATTTCCAACCATTAGTATAGTAGTGGTTAGTCATCCAGCTAGATGATGTTTTCCAGGGTAATTTCCCAAGCAAACGAAATGGGAAATGGAGGCGAACTTAAGATAAATCTTTGAGGTAATCCAAATGCATATAGAGGACTAAAAATAGAATTGTGTGGGATTCCCCCTTTCGCTTTATGTTTGAGATGTCTCCAAATTTCCTCTATTCGCCTAGCCACAAATGTTCTTCGTGTTCGCCCTCACTTCCACTACAAAACAAAGGTTTGGTTGCGCTTGATTAATTGTAAAAACATACTGGGCAAAAACCTTTATTAACTGGAAATAACAGTTTGCAGGTAGATTATTAGCAAATAGATGCTCGTCACGCATTTTCATTTGATGAATGAGGATTACTGAGATGTTAGCATTTCTTCGTGAATCTGTTTCTATTTAATTTCCAACATTTTGATGTAATGTAAACCATGATAAATAACAGACAGACCCAACCCAGTTTCAATTACCAATACATTCAGTGTGTTTTATCCTATCTCAAGTTTGCTGTTACTTACGATGTAGTAGATAAATTAAATGTAATGCGTTATTCATTGTGTCATAATTGTTAAGTGAATATGAAATCAGACACGCTATAACAATATACACTTAATTAGTCTCAACGTACTACATCCAAGTGAGGAAGTAAATGCATGGTAAGAGAAAGTTTTATTAGGAAATTTATTTTAACATAAAAATAAATTCCAAAGAACCCAACCCCCCATTTTGAACTGCAGTGTTATTATCCTGAATCAAAATAGTCCTCTCGTGAATTTCGAAGTTTAATAAACCAACATCTACAACAATGTTTAACTCCCATCATTTTTTAAAGTGAGACTTACGGTGATGTTCTTTAATGCTGAACACTGAACCTATAGAAAGGTTATCATTTGCAATTAGTACTCGCATTTTCTATTTTCTCTCCATGACACTTCTGTGATGTCTCTCGTTCCATGGATTTGCCCTTGCTTCGCGACGTTATATAGTTTAGTAGGTTCTTCCTACGTGACTGCCAGATAATCAGAAGTGTCTGGCGATTTCAGGTTTTATGACGTATTACAAGATATAGCGCATGGGGTTTTAGGATTATCATCTGTTAATCGCATCACCATGATCGTCTACAGTGCGAAGTAACAATACAACGAATTCAGTAACTTGCAGATTTGTCCCTTATGTTTTCTTGCTAAAGACGTGTATCTAACGTTCGAAGTTTCTCTTCAGATGACAAAGGGAACTGAAAACTTGATAGTCCAATATCAAGTTCTTGCTGACCTACTCACGTCCAGTGAAATGCATAGAAGTGCGTCTTCTCATTAGGGTATGATCTCGTGTATTGTTAAAGCTGTGAGAACACTTATCACTTCTCAGTTGCTCACACCATAGAAAGATGCCTCTTATTGAGAGACCTGAAGAACAAACTGGATTAGTGACAGTCTTATCTACCTGGGAGCGTGACCTCAAGGCCCATGGGACATCGTCTTAAAACTGGTCACACACGACTGTCTTGTGGCAGGCTTTTTATGTGTTAGCTTCAAAAGGTACTACCACAGGAGATGGCGATTCGTGGGGCAAGATGCTTACGCTTGTTACCCCTCATGGAGGAGCATAGGTCGCTCACCAGCATTCTCTATCCAACTCTATCCTGGGCAATCCTTTCCAGCTGCTATTGGTCCTTTGTGACGTCTGCTACCAATTCTCGACGCAGTATGTTGTTTAAGCTTAATCTTTTTCGGTTCTCTTCAGGATTCCAAGTTAGCGCCTGCCTCGTCATGCAGTTTGATGATTTCCTTAATGTGCGCCTTATCCACTGCTAACTTCTTTTCTTAATTTCCTCCTCAGCTGGAAGTTGGTTTGTTCTCTCCCACATTGGGCTGTTTCTGATGGCGTCTGGCTAACGGACATTCAGTATTTTACGTAGACAACTGTTTATAATTACTTATACGTTTTTTATTATGGTTGTGGCGATTCTCCAAGTTCCAGATCCGTACAGTAGGACTGTCTTGATGATCGTATTGTAAATAATATGTGATATATGTACGGTCAGGCTTTTCTAATTTCTTCCATTGTAACAGGCTGGCGTCGCTATAGGTGCTTGTTGTCTGATGCAAACGCCTTAGTTATCACACTTCACGGTCAGCAGCATAACATCAGACCGCTAGCTTGCTGCTCTTAGTCTTACTGTCCCTCAAATGATTTTCTGGAGTATCAGGACCTAAAGAAAAAAGTGTTCCAGTCAATATAGATCAACTGGAATATTACTATATGCAAACCTGATAACTACGTTAAGGAAGCAGATACGATTGGAAAACAATAACGAGGTGGGGTACATGGACATAGTTTACAACGCTCTTTTAACCAAGAACAAAGACGAATGCCTTCTGATACGAAGTTTAGTTCAAGAAGATTGATTTTATGATCAAGTGGTTGCCGTAGACTTCATAAGCGGAATGATCACAAATTAGTATCACTGGTGATAACAAGAGTGAAGTGGTAAAGTGCGTATAATTACAGAAACAAGTATTTAAACTGTATATTTTGGTAACTTATTTTCTACTAACTATCTTTTTGCTCAAGTACCAAATAATTTTAATTGTCGCCGTTTATTAATTTTAGCTAAGTAGTCGTCATTCAATTTATTCTTGTGGACAAAAACGCTTATAACGTAAACCACTACTTATAATGGTTATGAAGCAACGTTTAAAACTTGATCCGAAAGTAAGTTTGTGATTCATCTATTACAACGAATAATATAAGCTGTTTTTAGCTGAAATAAAGGGAAATCGTAAGAAAATTTTTAGTATGGTGGAGAAATTAGCGGAACACTCCGTTTTATTCAAACAACATGCCAAAGAATTTTCCAATGTAGCAAAAAATCATATCTCTGCTATGAAATCTACAGATGATCATACAGTTTATCTAAATTCCATAGTGGAAACAGAACTCATTATTTTCTCGTTGAATGTCATGTTAAAATCATCAGGAGCTCGTCATATTTTAGTTGAAAAGGAATTGTTTGCCTTATTGAGTGAATTAGATCAATCACTTAACAGTATTTCACCTCCATTTAATGATGCAACTTTGAGAGAACTGTCAATACAGCACCAAAATCGAGGTATGTTATGTTTAAATATCACGCTTAATCTGATCATTTGAAGTAAGGCAGTTAATACAGTTGACAACTTTATTTGCCTTGTAAATCTCCTCAGTCCTGATGACCTGGTGTCTGAGGAAATCTCAACTAACATTCAGGATCCTCATTCAGCTTTTGTGAAATTCCCCATCCTATGGCGTAGGCGGGAAATTCGTTCGTATTTTATGTAAAAGTATACTGTGGAGCCAGACAGTGAGTGAATTAGAAATTGGTTGGTGGGAAACAAACACAATATTAATTTATAAAATCACTGACTGTTGGTATGAACCTTGGTGTGTAAAAGCTACCACGTAGTTAATGTTTCTCACTATTTATTTGATATTGTATTGTAACCTCATTCTCTGTGTAACCGGACTATAAAATTGCGCTGAGCATATAGTATTGAATAAAGCTATTATTATTATTATTGTCGCTATTATTATTATTATCATTACTATCATTATTCCTATCATTACTAATATTATTGTCATAACAAAGGATTGACCCAGAACAAAATGCCTGTATCTTTAGATAACCTTAAAACTATTCTGCAAATGCAGCAAGCACAAAATGATGCAAATCAAATGAGGCTTTTGGATGCATGTATCGCAATACAGAATTAGAGTAGAAAATAAAGTGCAAAATATTGTGTTTAAATTACAATAGCTTCGGAACAAAAAGGGGTATGGCAATGAATGACACATCGGACGAAAGCTCATGTTCTGTAGAATAAAACAGGGACATAAATAAGTGTCAGTGTTTTACAAGCTTTGAATAAAATGAAATAACGTCCCGGAAAATAGCTTTCGTAGTTTGTCAGGGCTTCTTGTTTCCCTGTTCACATCACTATTTATCCACATATGTACATCTATGTGCCTTGATTTGGCATGATTACCAATTATCTCGGTGTACTGTTATCGCTGTTTTTGTCGCGTTTATCAAAGAATTCCAGTTACTTTCTTGTGTTTTTTGTACAAATCTAGAAGTTGAAAATTGTTTAATACCTGAAATTGGTCGTTTTTCCTATGTTTTTTCGTTAACAGACCAGCATAATTCGATTGAACAAGATCCGGGTCCAGTGAGAATTTCAAATGACAATAATGATATTAAATCAAGTGTAACTAATCCTAATGAAGAAAATTGTCAAATACTATCTTGTGTTAATAATAATAATAATGTTATTAAAGCTGATTGCAGCTCCTCTACTGAGCAGCCAAAACGCAAATCTTTAAAACGTGTGAGAAAGCTTAGTAGTAATGATGAGGAGTGTTTGATTTGTAAATAAATCAGTTTTTGCATGATCATCTTTTCTCGTTTTTATTGTCTTATACTACGTGTTTCGACTGTGATCAGTAGTGTTTCCTATTTTGAATACCTTAATAAATCTTTGAATCAGTTGGTTCACTCAGTGTTGAATCACAAATTGACTGTTAAGTAATTAACAAGTAGTTACTTCAGTATATCATGAGTACCAAATGAACTCTCAGTTCTTCATTGGTCTACAAGGTTGTAAATTATGCTATGTATCAATCGGCAAAGAGTGTTCCTGGTATAATCTATTATTCGAAATAATATCAATATATTCGAAATGCGATCTTTATAATTCTTATACATTCCATTCTACAGGGTTAACATTCGTCATTAAGGTGTACCTGGAAACCTGACGAAATAGACATAACATCTATAATTCGAACCCGGATCACCCAGCTTTATGGTGGAGGATGTTATCGCTACTAGGCTATTCAGGGCGCGATTGATGTCCTTTAGTAACAAGAATATCTACATCCCTTGGTTACTTTTTTGATTGAATTCTGTTGATCAGCACTAAAGACTATTCGAAGATGATATTGGTCACCATTCAATAGTCAGTTTGTGAATTTCACATGTTGATGATAAACTCAAATTTCTAGATATACTTTTTTTAATCGTGGTAAACCTGACAATCAGACACTTAGGCTCCCTGTTATTATCACTTATTATTTAATATAATAGATACCAATCAGCTCATGAATAAGAACATGTCCTATGGGACTGGTTAATTCGGTCGTGTTGATATAGTGATATGGGGCAAAATATTGGATGAAGACATGAAAGTATGAGATATAAATAACGTGAATTGCATCAATCATCTTGGAAATTTTATCAAGTAAACTTAAGTTGTTTTCACTGTGTTCATAATATTTGATCGCTAAAGTGTGCACCTCGATCGCATGAATCTATGAACTGTACAATGTCCTTTTCGATTTACCGACTACATAGTGTAGTAGAAATATTTTGAATGCAATCCCTCTGTCTTAAAGCTGTTGTTGAATGTTAATCATAAGCAACGCATATACTAGCGCGTATGTTCGTCAGTTCAAGATCTAAAAGAAGACTGTTTCTGCTGAGCCTTGTCAATCAGTCTCCAAACATTGGTCCCATTAGTTTCTCAAACCATATTCAAGTAGTCTACACCTACCAACATAACTTAGTTCAACTGCTAATGACATCACGGACTGATGCCATCTTTCATCCCACTTACATAAGCAAATATCACCTATCAAGATAGGCAACGGTTGATGTACGATTGTAGGTTGATGGTCTTACGTTATGAATTAAAATTGTTAGTAGGTTTTGTGTAAAGCGAATAACACAGTTTTCTGTTTAGTATTTTATTCCTAGTTAAAGTGATTCTTAGGTGTAGATTGATGATGTGTTGGATGGGTTCAGAGGTAGTACAAACCAAAAATCTGTGCACTGCAGAGGCCTTAGAAATTGATTGGTTTAGGCGTGACTCTGTTCAGGAGCATCATGAGCTACCTCTCATTCTACCACGATCTTAATACGTCTAATTTTTCAAACGGTCATTCCTTGTTGATATCATCATCGAATTCTTATGTTTGTGGCTGTCATCTCCAGGTTTTCTGTTGCTCCCCGTATCTACGTTCTCATCAAGTGAACAACTATCCCTAGTTCCTTCAACCCAGAAACTGTTTATGTCTTGTTATCTTTCTTTAACCTTGTAGATCGTCACGCAACCTGCTTGTGGTAATTGAAATCTTCACAGAAATACACAGGTTACTAAGGTTATTCTAAATATTAATATACTTGTTACAACTTAGAGAATGAATAATTTGAAAGATGTAACCTGTGGGTAATTGATGCTTTAAATAGCTAAAAACTGAGATTTGCAAGATTCTAGGAAAACGTACGACAGATGTAGATTTCACTAATCTCCGGAAAAACATAACGAGAGCCTTGACTAAACGCACTCATTTAACAGGTAGATTTGACTATCGTTTGATGAATAACCAAGAAAAATCATACATAACTGAAATAAACGGAATACAAAAACTAATTTCACGTAAATACTGCGTCTTATACTGAGTAAATATTACAATAAATTAAGACATGATCTCGCGTTTTAGTCAGTCCTAACACAAAACTAATGAAGTTGGAAATAAGGTTTCTATTAACTGAGTACTTATTAATGAAAATAAATCATTCGAAAATAGCATGTCGTTTTTTGAATTATAGTTGTAGAATTTTCTATCTCTGACTGACATCGCACAAGTAGAAAGAATGTAAACTACTCCGCATCACTTGTAATGATAATTAATGTAGATTGAGTTTGTTTGTAAGTAGTTTCGTTATTATTCACACTTCACATAGTCTGACTTTATTTGCACAATTCTTGTTATATACATATACGGATACATTCTTGTGGTTTGACTCATTCATTATAATACTAGCATGATTGCATCATTTATACGAATTTAACTGTCGTAAACATGTGTTAAATGGCAGTCGTCTACCATGATCTTGTTACCTGAGACGTTAACTTAGTCTTAATTTTTAAAATCTCTAGCAAAATAGCTTAAAGACAATTTATAATATAATTCATTTTGTCAAGAAATAAAACGAAAACTATTTTCAGTTGAATACTCTATAGGTGAGAAAAAAATACAAAAAAAGGAAACATGTTTAACATGTATACGAAATAAGAGAATGATCTGACCCGTAACAAACTCTACGTTATAGTTATCAATTCGACATCCTATAGCACATGAATGAAGTCAAGTATGAAAATCAATTTAAGATGTAAATTCTTCTGTAAAGTTCAACACAGACAGATCACTAAAGATCGATTAGTTAAATGAAATTAGAGAACGAAAAAACGAACTTTATTTAACTAGGAAATTATTGACGTTTCAGTAGGTCAGTCATAATAAAAACATATTCAGACGGGAAAAAAAATAACTAAAATTCAGTAACAGAATACTAAATATTTAGAAGATTCACAAAACATCAATGAATAATTTCAAGTGAATAACTTATTTTGAAGAGTGGTGAGACTATAGTTTATGGACAACCTTTGAGCGATGCTAAAGTGGCCTTAAGAGTGTCCACCTAATAACTAGGACTAAATGAGGGTTATAAACTTGTGTAAGGACCTCAAATTGTGATTTACAGTTGACGTTTAAGGTTAGGAATAACATTTAGGGTTTTTATCACGAACTGACATCAGCTATAATGCCAAAACTTTATTTTGCCAAATTGATGAATGGATTTCGCGCCGAAATCTAAAACCTGTTATCGTAAATCTGATCGGTTCGTCCATAAATTACAGTCTCGCCAGAAGAATATACCCAAGTAATTGAGAGGTTGCGAATGCTCATCAATAAAACGAGTATGTGTCGATATCTTGCATTGTGTTAAAATAAGCTGTTTAGATCTCAATAGATAATTATCATTATCATCAGTATGATATACTGTGAATAGTCTGCATGTCTTGAATACGCACTAACATTTTATTTATTTATTTGAACACATACATATTGGTACAAGAGAGCGCCAATAAATATGCGCCAAACAAAACAATGAGAACTTAAAGAGAAGGAAAAAGAAAAAGTAAGGAGGGTAAAAAAAGAACAATAACGAACAGATTAGTGTAAGGTAGTGTAATATCAATAAAAATAATAATAATAGTAATAATGGGGGAAACGGAAAGGTACAATCAGAAGAAATCTTTCAGTTAAGGAAGAAACAACCATTTTTATAAAGAAAGTGAAAGAAGGTTACAGCAGGATCGCCACTGGCTTCTATTCTGAGCCACATCTGATAACGTCTCTAGCCACTGTGTTGCACCATCTCTAGGACCCCAGCCAGGGAGTCGTGAAGGACCAACAGAAGCCAGCCCTTTACAGCTTTCTTTCATACCAAGACACCATGTCATACACTGAACACATCGCTTTCTCCAACCAGTCCCAGAGTCGGCAAATAATGCACGACGTGGAATTCTCTGAGACGACATTCATAGAACATGTCCAAGCCACCGAAGTCGGTGTTTCAAGATGGTGACATCGATTGCATTATCATCTCTGTGCCCGAACACACGATGCCTAACCTCTGCATTACTAACATGGTGTTGCCACTGGATGTCAGCAATCCTTCGGAGACAGCGATGATCGAACACAGAGAGTCGTCTAACGTCCTCAACTCGGAGGCCAGGTTTCACAAGCATAGAGCAAAACTGCTCTCACCGACGCGTTGTAGATCCAACCTTTTACAGCCAGACTAACATCACGAAGGCGCCATAGATAGCCCAGATTGGCATGAGCCGCTCTGGCTTTCACTATACGTGCATTGATCTCATCACTCACACCCCCACCAGCATTTATGCAGCTACCCAGATACACGAACTCCTCGACTACTTCTAACTGCTCACCATCCAGGGTGAGTACAGGATTAGAATCCTGCCAGTTTTGTAGAAGTACTTTGCACTTCGGAGGTGCAAAGCACATACCGTACCTACGGACACTGATTGCCAACTGATTAAGCGCGGATTGCATGGCCTGGGCATTATCGCAGAGTAAGGCAATATCATCCGCATACTCAATACGGAGAAGTCTTTCTCCAGGCAACAGATCCACACCGCCATTACTTACATCCATCAGAGCTGTTTCCAGAATGTCATCGATGGCAAAGTTGAAGAGGAATGGTGAGATTGGGCAACCCTGCCTAACCCCACTGCTCGAATGGAACAATGGAGAGAGGTGATTGTATGCCATCACTCTGCCTGAGCTGTTTGTGTACAGGGCCTTTAGGATGTTAATAAACTTCTCAGGCACACGCTTCTTCAATAGATAATCCCAGAGAACAGTCCCATCCAACGAGTCGAAGGCAGCCCTGATGTCAAAAAACACTACGATTGTTGGCCTTTGATAAGTATAACAGTTCTGACATTTGGCGGAGAGTTAAGACATGATCAACAGATCCTCGACCAGAACAAAGCCCAGCCTGCTTCTCGCGAGTCAATCTTTCT